ATGCAGCTAGAAACATGAAATTTTGCAATACTTCCACCCATTATCATGAAAAGACTTACACTGAAAATTACAAAGATCGGGTCGCTATAACCTATATCCTCAATACAACTGATTGTTCAGATATGGGATTTTTCGTTATAACTCCTCCATTTATGCAGTTAGGAACATGACATTATGTACTATTATTACTCATTATAAACAGAATACTTACAGGGAAAATGACAAAGATCGGGTCACTATAACATACAGCTCCCATACAACTGATTGTTCAGATATGAAATTGTTTGTTAAAACTCCTCAATTTATGCAGATAGCAACATGAAATTTCGCAGTATTTTCATTAATTAACAAGAGAAATGAAAATTACAAAGATCGGGTCGCTTAACCTATTGGCTCCATACAACATTGTTGAGATATGAGGTTTTCAAATAAAACTCCTTCATTTTAACAGCAAAAACCGGGACACCTTCTGAGCTATTTACTTATCAACCATATAAAGTCCACTGAGGAAATCAGCCAATTCGGTGCTCCATGAGGTATGTAACCCATAACTATAATTGTTCGGATTTGAGTTTTTTCTTAAAAACCACTTCATTTAGACGGCTAAAACAGTGAAATATTGTGAGCTACAGGTATAAGTTTTTTTACTTAACTCCTCCATTTAAGATGGTTAAGGACCTATTATTTTGTACCTTGTCTAAGTTATGACAATCAATTCAAGAAGTCTAGGCTCGGGTGAAGTCGAACATTAAATACCGAAAACCACCGTTATGGTTTTACCCTTCTTTCAAACAACATCTATAGTATAATGAAATCTACTTATGTATACAGTCATAAGTGGGTGGCACCACGACCATTTTCCAAATTCCATAATAATCTTATTTCTTTTTGAGAGATTATTGTTAGAATTAATTTTGAGTTAATAAGCGTATTTAGATTTCGAAATATAGTAGTTTCCATACTTCTGAAATATACCGTTTTATACAAAAAGTGGGCGTAATTTTTGTCCGATTTCAAGCATTTTCAACGTCTTTCTTTTTTGTGTCAAGTACATTAATTATACCGAGTTTGATACAAATGGATTGAACAGTCACCTAGATACACATATGAGGTCACAAGTGGGCGGTATCGCGCCCATTTTCCAAAATTTTTTCTAAACGTATTTCTTGCTAAATAATTATTGAAAATGTTTTACTAAGGCCAACATCTTTGCCAAATTTTATAGAAATTAGTGGAGCGGTTACCGAAATATGCACATGTAACCATAAGTGGCCGGGCCTACGCGGTTTATGTATTTTTCCAAACTACCATTACATGGGATGTAAGCGTGGTTATTGTCTAATTTTGCTCATTTTCAATACTACCGGTCCTTAGCTCAAAATAAATACACGTACCAATTTCGTTAAGATATCTCAATTATTACTATATTTATAGTGTGCAAAGACGAACGGGCTGACGGACGGACAGACAGTTACAGCTTCATTGATTTCTTTTATTATTTAGAGTCCGATAAATGTGCTAAAAGTATTTCTTTTCGCGTATACAGAAGTAAGGGGAAATTTGGAATTTTATCAAAAGTTTAGCAGTCGCTACCAATCTAGAGGCCAGATACTGAAACTGCGGAACGCACACATGTGTGATTCCCTGTTACGAAGAAGTAGCTTAGAATGTTTAAATTCAAAACAATAACATTTCTCAAAAAACGGAACAAAATTCTTAAACACTTTGTCATTTAACCCGGTTCTTTTTTTGTTGAAAACTCATTGAATTACAAACAACTGTTTGTCCGCAGACCGAAGGCGTGATAGGTCTTTGTTATTTCCAAAATCTGTAAGGAAAGAATAGTAATTACAGCTGGTACATGCACTGCTACCTGTTTGGATCACTTTGTTCATACATATGTGCACACATATGTGGTACGCGAGAAAAAAGGTTGACTACCATTGTTCAAGACAATAGATCAGGGGAGACATTTCCATACTCTCAATAACACACTTTATCTAACAGTTGTTAAGGACGTATCGTCCATTATGACGGTATTTCATTTAGGTAACCTCCGCGACTAGTAGCTATAGATGCTTTCCTTTCACACCAGACAATGCTACTCGTATTTCGCTAAACGGCGGTCCCCATTTTCTCTACCTACTCTCTTTAAGAGGTTATTTCAGAAATTTCTTTATGAGAAAACACAGAATGGTTATTTTGAATTACTAAAATATAAGTATTCAGTTTAAATTTAGACTTCCATGCGATATCTGGTTAATCTCTAAAATTAAATATTAAAAAAAAATATTCATTAAATTCGAAATTTAAATATATTTACTATAAGTATTTATAAAAAAATGCCACGAGTATCTGCGCGATCACAAGAACAACGACGTCGTGAAGCTGTCATTTGGAGCCGCCAGCACTATGAACGAAATTTATCGCAAAATAGGACAATAAGCGCCAGTCTTATGGCTAACCTTCGGTCTTCAAATAACCTGTTTCGTCAAATAGAAAGGGAAAATGATGCAGCATTGCACAGAGTAAGAAGGCGTCTACCAATGCGTAGAGTTATGGAACAAACCCAGGACACCATGGCGCACCGGTTAAGAAGGACTGTTCCACAATTAAGGGAAAATGAACGCGTTCGCGACTCGGAAGCACGTGTACTACGACGACAAAATCCGGATTTGAGATGGGATGAACAAGCGCATAATACGGTGGCGCATCGGTCAAGAAGGACTGTCCCGCAATTAAGGGAAACTGAACGGGTTCGCGACTCGGAAGCACGTCTA